ATTACATATTTATTATTTATGATATATTAAAAGTGGCATATACTTTTTATTTGTTTGTGCCATTATTACCAAAACATATCCATAAAGGAAAATGTGTATGAAAAATGATATTTATTTATGGTGGATTAGTATTTATATGTTGTTATTTATGTAATNTTTTAGACTAGTATTTCTGTCTATACAATTCTGTATGAATGTGATCCTAAAAAAATAATAATTCATAATATTAATAATAATAATAATAATTATTATTATTATTCCTAATCTCTCACAATTACATTTATTAATAATGATGTTGTAGTTTTATTTAATTGAATTTAATTTTATTGTATATTAATCCCTACACAATTACTGATGATCATGATAATAATAAAATAATAATAATAACAACAACATTTATTATTATTATTATTATTATTATTATTATTAATATTATTATTTTTATTATTACTCAATTAAATTTATTATTGTTATTGTTATTATTATTATTATTATTTCACACAATTAAATGTATTAATAATGATATTATTATTATTAGTAGTAGTAGTAGTAGTAGTAGTGGTGGTTTTATGTAATTGTGTAGTAGTAGTAATAATAAATGTATTATTATTATTATTACTCAATTAAATTTATTATTGTTGTTATTATTATTATTATTATTATTATTATTATTATTATTAATATTATTATTATTTCACACAATTAAATGTATTAATAATGATATTATTATTATTAGTAGTAGTAGTAGTAGTAGTAGTAATAAATGTATTATTATGATTATTATTATTATTATTATTATTATTCCTACTTCTGCTAATTTTATTTTTTATTTTTTTATAAAAAAATTCTTTCTGCACAATAATATAATAATAATAATAATATTATTACTGATATTATTATTATGTAATTGTGGAGTATGGAGTATTATTATTGTTATTTTTGTTATTTTTTATTATTATTATTATTATTATTATTATTATTATTATTATTATTACTATTATTATTATTACTCCTACACAATTACATACCTAATAATGAAAGTTTTATTATTATTAATTAATAAATGGCTTTTCCAGGTGGCCATGAACAACTACTTGGCTCTCAAAGCGTTTTTCCAGTTGTTTCCTGAGTTCAGCAAAAACGAGTTTTTCCTGACTGGAGAGAGTTATGGAGGGATTTACATTCCCACATTGGCTGAGATAGTCATGGAAGACAGCAGCATCAATTTAAAGGTAGGAGAGACTTCATCTGCATAAGCAACACAAACATTGAGCATTCAGTTTGACGTGTGTATTTGTGTTGTAGGGGATTGCTGTTGGAAATGGCTTGTCTAGTTATGAGCTGAATGACAACTCTCTGGTCTATTTTGCATACTATCATGGACTTCTTGGGACCAGGTACAGAGTTTTCACATATCATGAT